ACACACACACACACACACACACACACACACACACAAATGGCACCAAATGGGGTTTGTCAAACTAAGCAGATGAATAAGGACAATGAGGGAGACTTGCCTACATTGTGAGCCACAAATCATGTCAAGTTTGCTAGAAGCCACATAAAAGAAGATTAAAAGATATTGAGAGGGTTCATTTCACCCAGTGGATCCAGAATACTATTGTATCTGCAGGCAATCTTTTTCTGTGTGTCCTGGTACTGGAGCTTGAACTCAGGGCCTCTCTACTCTCACTTGGCTTCTTTGTTCAAGACCCATATTCTACCACTTGAGCCATGCTTCCAGTTGTGTGAAATCTTTCTGATGATAATTGCCATCATTTACCCTGTTTTGTTTTTAATCCTTTGAAGTCACTGTTTTTGGCAGTACTAGGGATTGAACTCAGGGTTTTGTGCCTACTGGGCAGGACAGCCTTTTCACTAGTTATTTTTTATTTGTTGGCTTTTGCCAATCTCGGGCCTTGAACTCAGGGCCTAGGCACTGTCCTTGAGCTTCTTTTGTTCAAGGCTAGCACCCTTACTTGAGCCACAGCACCACTTCTGGCTTTTTCTGAGTAGTTTATTGGAAGTAAGAGTCTCACACACTTGCTACCCAGTTTGGCTTTGAACTGCGATCCTCAGATCTCAGCCTCTTGAGAAGCTAGGATTACAGGCGTGAGCCACCAGCTCCTGGCCTATAGTTATTTTTTGAATAGGGTCTTATGTTTACGTTCAGGCAGGTATGAACTACAACACTCCTATTTATACTTCCTGTGTAGCTGGGTTAACAGGCATGTACCATCAAGCTACCACACTCAGCTTTTATTGGTTGAAATGGCATCTCCCAAACTTTGTGCCTAGTCTGGTCTCAAGTGACAATTCTCCTGATCTCTATCTCCCAAGTAGCTTAGATTACAGGCGTGAGCCACACCACCAGTGTGTATATTTCACTTAGCACACACCCTGGTTAGGTCTAATGCTTAGTCACCACCTGTGGCTGTGGCTGCCATACCAGATGGCACAAATCTACCAGGAGAAACAGGGAGAAGAAGAGGAAGAGAAGGATAAGATGGCCGGAAGAGTGATAAGAGAAACATTCAGCAGGAGAGAGCCATGTCCGGTCCTCCCCACCCCCAACCCCACTGACCCAGAAAACAAGGCTCCTCTGTAGGTAAGAAAGGCCTTTGTGGGCAAAAGCTGTGGTATTTAGTTATCACTCGCGGCCTTCACACCTCTGTCCTTCCACCCCCAAATCCTTAATGAGGAAGCACTGAGAATTAAAACCTAAGCCCTAGGGTGGGGAGAGGCCTATTCCAAGAGGGCTCTGAGAGTGAGAGACAAGCCAAGTGTGTCCAGGTGTCTCGTAGGAGATGACAGGTGCTGAGGCGATGGGAAGATGGCCATAGGTAGCCAGGATGGCCCTGAAAGATGCAGGTGACCTGAGCTGCCCCAGGCAAGGTGCAGGGGCCTGAAACTCCCCAGTGAGAAGTGCTAAGCTGCACCCCAACTTGACAGCAGGTAATGTGGGGGGCGCCTCTTACCCTCCTTCAGCATCCCCACTTTCAGACACTTCATGAAGCGGCAGGCCTGGCAGGACTTGCGCCTCCGTTTGGTGATCTCGCACTCGTTGGTGGCCGGGCAGCTGTACTCGATGTTTCCTGTAACACAGAGAGGGAGGGTTGCCAGGTACCTGCTATCCAGGACCTCTGACCCACTGGAGGCCTGCTGGCCAGGAGGTTAGCTGGCCTTAGCTACAACTCACCCCACCTGGGGTTCCATAGGGAAGAGCTTCTCAAAGCAGGG